CAGCCTCTGCGCCCGAGCCCCGCACCCCTTCCTCCATCTTGGCTGCGGTCGGAGCCTCCATTTTCGCTCCCTCCCCCCACTTAAGTCACCACCACCACCATCAGCACGCGCGACCGCCGGGCCTCGACTCTTCGCCTCGGCTCTGTGGGCTGACGTGGAGTGCAGACGGTTGAACAGAGGCCTGGAGGAAAAGCTCGGGGTGGGAACGCGGATGAGATCGTCTCTACCCGGATCTTTAGGAGTGCCCACCTTGACTCAGAAGTCTCTCCCGCTAGTACTGGTCTTCTCATTCCCTCTTAGCCTGGTTTTTTGCTACCCCCATTTGGACCCTAAGGTCGTACTCACCCCAACAGCTCAGCGCCCCCTCTCCAGCGCCGCCATAAGCAGCACGGCCCGGTACGTAGGAATAAATCTCGCTTCTCTCGCGAGAGTTGCGGGCTCCGAGCGCGTGCACAGGAAGGGAGGGGGGGGCGTGCTCCTAACACGCTTGCGCACAAGAGCTGAGTGACGGCAGTCTGTGCGCTGTACTTAACCATAACCAAGATGGTGGCTTCATTCCCTTACATTTCCCTACCCCCCCTTTTCACCCCCCCCAGCCCCCCAAATGAGTTGCAGGAAACAATCTCGGTGTTTACTGACTCCGCTGGGACGCAAAGGCTGGGGTGGAGAGTGACTCGGCGTCTCTAGTCTTTGCAAGTCTGATTATACTTTAAGCGGCAAGACCAAGTAAACCCTGAAGGCGAACATGTTTGAAGATATCCAGGAATGTCATATAAAGAATTTCTGTTTCCATCGATAATCCAGAAGCCTCCAAACTCCAGGTTCCCGTCCTTATAATGCAAACCTTCTTTCACTTACCGGGTTCATTATTAAATAGTCAGGTGTAGAGCGAGGTAATTTGTAAGTCTTAACTGAGATTTTTGTGACGGCCAGAGTTGTGCACGGTAGCATAATCATTAAAAACAAGTCTCCCCACCCCACTCTCCAAATAAGAACTTCAACTGACCTTTTTAGTTACCAGAAAAAAACTGTAGTCTACCTGGTAATTAGAAAGGCTGAAGCAGTAACCAAATGGTTGAAATCAAGGTGGGTGGTTCATCCAATGGAATGAGAGGAAAGAGAATGGTTAATTCTAGCCACAAAAATGTTCAATGAATTATCCCTTTGCAAACAGAGCAAGCCCCTTTGGGGGTGAATGCTCTTCAGAGATTCTGTGGCTCCCTCCCTTGACAGTTTTGGATAAACTGACCAGGAACACTCCTGAGATCTCTCCCACCCACTTTTTTTCCCTTTGAAGGCATCTCAGGTGTGTCATCGCTGGGATGTATACATTAATAATGTCAATTGCATGCATTTGTTCTCAAGGACCTTTCACTTTTCCAGACTAGTGTGCAAATCTAAATGTGCACAATGAAATAAGTGGACTACAAGAAAGGTGCACAGTGTTAAGAGAATGTACTCTCCAATTCTGAGCAAATCATTTTTAAAGAGTTTTTACTTTTATTATTTTCTTTTTTAAGTAAAAATCTTGAATACTAAGAGGTTGATGTTTAAGATTTTTCTCACCTCTGTTGCTATTAGTCCAATCTGATACATACTATCTTCAAATTGTCTCCTTGTTACCTTTCCTAGTTGCTAGACACAGATGCTTGCTTTCCTTTCAATGGTTACATTGTTCATTCCGTCTTGATAATCAGTATATACTAGTTAGTAGTACTAGCTACAATCATATTTGCATCCCTGATTACTATTTCTGGTAGAGAGAACCCTCAAAAGCTTGTTGAATAGATAGCACTGAACAGTGTGAGGCGTTATTAAAGAGAACGCCGTGCTTTTTCACTAGGCTGCAGGACACAACTTGGGGTAAACCAGGCTACCACTCATCCTTCAGCAGCCACAGTGAGTTAGGTCCCAGGCCATCACTTACCGGTGTGCCACCAGCGCCAGGCTCTTGGGAAGGGACAAAACTGCCTTGCACAACAGCCTTTGGGTTGGCCTACTGGACTCTGCGGACACCACTTGTGATAGGAGTAGCTTTGGAAACTCCCTCCTTTCCCCTAATATACCCTCTGTTAATAAACCCTGTTCCTGCACCTGGAGCCTGAGCCCTGTCTTACAACTGTGAGCACCTGGGTGAGGACCCACACACCATGCCCTTCCCCAGATGTTGTACAGCATCAGAGTCACTGGTAAATACAAAGGCTATGGTTATGCGGAATTCTTAGGTGAGGAAGATGCTGATTTAACATACATACGATTAAGATCATAAAATATTAAATTACATAACTATGGGAAGCCAATATGGGTAAGCAGGGCATCAATTCACAACAAAAACCTACATGTGGGGCCAATATTTTCACTGGGAACCTGGACCTGGAGGTTGATGAGAAATTGCTTTATACTTTTAGCACCTTTGGGGGTCATCTTAAAACCTGGCACAGGCAACTCCAGACTACGCCTTTACTGATATTGCTTCATTTGATGCTGTACATGCAGCAATTGAAGCCATGGAGAGGCAGGACCTCTGTAACCATCCTATTGCTGTATCCTGTGCCTTCAAGGATGCCAAGGGTAGGCACCATGACTCAGCAGACGAGCGACTTCTGGCAGGCCAGAACCTACTCTTCCAGGCTCACTGCTCTCGCCAGCTGTTTGTACATGCCTCTACTCTGCTCCCAGTCCTATGGCGTCATCACTGGCATCTGGCTTCCTCCTACAGGTACGCCTCTTCCTGGCTGCTCACCACACCTAGTGCTGCCTCAGAGCCTTTTCACCTGGGATATCCCCAGCCATTTCTTCCACACATATGACTCCCAGGGCCAGAGGACATGACTTCCCATCTACAGGACCTCAGGGACTGGACTCCCTAGACCTTCATAGTCACATCCTATCTGTCATGGGATGCCCTATCTGTCATGTCTCAGACATAGCTGGCCCACGGAGGTCTCATGGCTAAAGACACCCCCAGCCAGGCCCCTAAGCTCTGAGGAGCAGCTGCCGCACACAGACCGCTGCTGGAACACCTCATCCTGAACCTCATGGGCGTGCTCCCCAGCTCTCCTATGGGTCCCCTGGTCCTCAGCATGACATGGTATATGTGTGGCCCTTCTCCACTAACATTCTCCCATGGATATATGGGCTGGGTGGTGGGGAGTGCTAGGAGGCCTCCCTCCACCCATATCCACTCTGTGGCCTCCAAGCCCTTCTCATTACCCACTTTAAGGCCCTTATTTTCCTGTTATTTCCTCCCAACCTCCCAATATCTTTCAATTCCTTGGACCAACTGGAGTAGCTGTTCCTTGGGGCCTAGGCCCTAATTCCTCTCAGGTCTGTTTTATTGTTTGTTAAAGGACAGGTTTATTAGGAGAAAGGGGTTAAAGAGAGGCACGTGCACAGTCTCAAGTGGGCAGAAGAGCAGCCTTTCAGGTCTGTTATTTCTTTTAAGCGTAATTTTTTAAAAAACTAAACTCAGGCCCTCCCTGGTGGCGCAGCGGGTTAAAGCCCAGCACTGAGAATCTAAAGCCGCTTCCGCATGAGTTCGATTCCCGCCTGCCCGGGAGGTGACCACATGGCGTGGCAGACCTCTCCTGACCCGCCCGCTGCTCCCCTCAGCAGTGTACTTCGTCGATCTGCCTGTTCTGCTCCCCACTCTGTCTCTGGTGAAGCCTCTCGCCGCCCCTGAGCCTCTGGCCTGTACCCCAGTTCTGTATGCACAAATAAATAAATCTTTAAAAAAACAAACAAACAAACAAACAAAAAAACTAAACTCATTGTTAAAAAGTTAGGAAATGGATGTTCTGCTGGGCAAAAACATACCCAGGTGCTTGTTTCTTTTGTCCAATTTTTTCACGGCATCTTGTATTTTACTGTTTTCATTTTAACAAACACACAACAAACACAAAGCTCTGTCTGGCCTGTCACAGGGGCTAGGCAGGCCTCTTGGTTCAGCCCAGCAGCATTTTCTGAGGACTCATTATAGTGGCCTGCATCTCGGATGGGGCCTGCCTAGTCTTCCCAAAATTCCCTTGGATTTTGTTCCTCAGTCCCTTCCAGTGCCAATCTGTCACACCTACTAGTCCCACCCCAAGCTGCAGGGGATAAAAGAGGCTCACAGGGGAGAGGGGACTTTCCCGAGGCCACGCATAGCTGGAGCTCTAATCCAGGCCTCTGGGCCTTGCTTCAGACTGACTTCTGGCTTTAGACTGCATTAGGGCCCATTTCCCCTAGTAAGATTAAAATAGAACTATAATTACCTGTGGGATAGCCCTTAATTCTCCCAGGATGTAAAAGGGCTTGTGTAAAAGCAGAGGTTGGCAAACCTTTTCTCTGAAGGACCAAAAAGTCCATATTTTACAAAGTGCAGTCGCCTCGAATGTTCCACTCTGCTGCTGTAAGAGAGGAGCCCACAGCTGAGTGTGACTGTGTCCACTAGAGCTTTATAAGCACTAAAGTTTGAATTTTGTTAAGATTTTCATATGTCATGAACTCATATTTCTTTCCCCACAACCTAAAAATGTAAAAACCTTTCTTAGCTCCTTACTTTCTGTTGGTGGAAATAGCAAGAGCTTTCCTTTCTTTGGTCATGCTGCTGGGAATGAAGCCAGTTTTGCTTATGCTTAGAAGCACTGCACCATGGCCCTGCAGGTATAAGATATATCCCAACTTCAGAGATGCTAAATATTAAATAAAACTGAACTTTAGGATCAGTAACATGGAAACACTCCTGTCAATTCCTTCATATTCCCAGAAGTTAACATGACGTGGTGAGTGAATGATAATTAACACTCGGAAGGTTGTACCTCTGTAGCATTTCTGGAGCATGACAAAAGCATTGTTGGCTGTGAGTACGAGTGGTTAATACGCCCTCACTCACCATGAAAGTTGCTGTGAGAAAACTAAGTGAATATGAAAGTTCACATTAAAATATGAAATGTAGCTGCTCCTATAACATGGAGAATTAAATAATTAAAAAATGTCAGATATTACCAAGGATCTTAAAAATGTATACTTTATTATATATGTACCCTTTAATACACTGTAGACACATGATGAAATGCACATTGATGAAAATGAATGACAGCTATACACAAAATTATGAATCTGAAATTCATAATGCTGAGTGAAAAACAAATCCTCATAGACTACATCTCATGATGTTAATTTTATAGAGCTCAAAAAAAATTAAAATATTTCTTGAGGGACACATACATATTTAGGTCTTTTTACATGTGATAAAATTATTAAAAAGGCAGAGCAGTGGAGACAGTAAAAGAGCTCAAGTAGATAAGTGCCAAGTATGGGTTATATTCTAATTATTAAATTAAGTGAATTATTATACTTGATTATGTATTTACAAAACACATTTATCCCTTAAAGTGGCAAATATTACTTTAAAATATTTTAAGTGCAAAATGATGCATAAAGTGTTGACAGTTTATATTTGCATGTATTTTTAAACACTATTTGATCAGATTATAGGCAATTCAGGTTAATTTTAACAAAAATGTGATGTTATTAGGTTACTAGAATTCTCAGGAGCTCTAGGGCAGACAGAAAACCAGAATTAGAGGCTACAAGCCCGTGACTGTTGGCTGCTGGCTTCAGTGAAGATCCACCCTGTCCCCTTTCAGGCAGAGGTACTGCAGCTCACACCGTTTGCTTTGCTGACCAGACACTGAACACTGTTGCCGAGTTCACTTGGCTGTTCTTCTGCAGCGCTGTAGGAGGCAGGTGTTGCAGATCTCAACTCAAGGATTCTGCTTTGTTCCCTTTAAAGTTTAAGGCAGATATACCTAATGTTCCCCAGCTGCAAAAGAGACTGAGAAAAACTGGTACTTTCAACTTTTTTAGGAAGGAGGAAGGCTATGCACCATTAGGTGAGGAATTCTGTAAACATAGGCTAGGAGTTAAGATACTGGGTGGTGGAAAAGAAGTGTGTCTGCCACAGCCCATTCTCCGGGCTGCTCAGCATCAACACCCTCTTTCAGCTGATACTTAGACTTGTTAAAAACTACTTGGCATAAAAGGACTGTGTCAGGCCTCCCTAGTGGTGCAGCGGGTTAACGTGCAGCACTATGAAGCTGGCCACAGCCTGTGCAGCACGAGTTTGATCCCCAGCCAGGGAGGTGACCCACATGGTGGGGCAGACTTCTCCTGTCTGCTCCCCTCAGCAGTGTACTTCGTCAAGCCGTCTGTTCTGCTCCCCGCTCTGTCTCTGATGAATCCTCTCACCACCCCTGCACCTATGGCCTATCCCCCAGTTCTGTGTGCATAAACAAACAAGTCTTAAAAAAAAAAAAAAAGGACTGTGTCAGTGTTAGCTGCTTTTTCAATACTCTTTTTTTCTATCATTGATTTTACTTCACGCAATTATGTGCTCAGCCTCTTTTGCAGCTAGAAATGACCAAATAAGATGGGGAAATTTGTCTGTAACCTCTGAGAAAACTTTGCTTTTCATCATAAATGAGGGTAATAGATCTGGCATGTGCTATTTTCCACTCGCCCCCACCTGCCTTCAACATGACATCTGGCCCAGCAGCAACTTTCTTGCAATCCTAAGAACATAGCAAGAAAGATGAAAAGAAGCTAAGCAGGCAGATTTGAAAGTCAGAACTGTGTGTAATAATAAGCACAAGTTGAACACTGTTCCTTTCATACACAGTCTCAGTCACACCATTCTAGAAATCAGATAACTATATATTGTTAAAATTAACTCACTGAATTTCTATTTCCTACTACAAGGGCTGTGATTTTTTTGTTTGTTTGTTTGACTGTAATGTAGAGATTTTGCTAATGAAGAACTACCTGAACTCTGGAAAGTAGCTGTACCCTGACTTAGTGGTTAAGAATGTGTTTTTAAGTCTGTTTGGGTTTGAATCTTGGTTGTTTGGACCAAACAACCTGTACCTTGGTATCTGTAAAATGAGGTGCAATCAAAATAAAGATTTTATAATAATTAGAAAGCACCTTGGTATCTGTACAAAGAGGAGCAATGAAAATATTTATAATAATTAGAAAGCACTAAACTCTCTAGTTCATTTGTTGTCTCAAGTTTAAAAAGCCCCTCCTCTGTGTCCTATACGTTCTTATATTAGACTCATTACAGTGCACTTTCATTATATATTCTTGTCTGTCTCTGCCAGATTTTCTTCAGAAAGTGTCCATACTACCCCACCTTTTTCTATTTATAACTCCAAATGAGGTGTCTAATAGGTAGTAACTAGATATTGTCAAATGAATGTCCTTAAACATTATCCAGGATTATCATTAAAATACTAACTCCTGGACTCATCCCCAAATTTCCATTTCAGTAGGTCAGTGAAACACATTTTGAGAAACACTAAAGGGCCTTCAATGTTTGAATCAATTTATGCACAGGTATTAATGTAAGTGAAATTAATAAATGAATACTGCTAATACTGAAAAAATTTTCAGTGTGAACTTGTACTCCTAAAACAGTATTGCAAACCAGTATTACCTTAATTTAAAAACGTTAAAGATTTTCAAGACACTTTCAAATTAAGCTTTAATTTATAAACTGAAAAAAATTATGAACTGATAACTTTGATGTCTAATGTGACAACAGCTCTACGACCATTCCAGAAACAACTATCTGTAAAAGTATACTGTTGGCTTATTATGTGAATGACAGATTTGAAGTCTTGTCTAGTGACAGTTTACTATATGTATATGTAGGAGAGGAAAAAACCCGATTTTTAATTTTTAAATAACTATAATCACTACTGAGTGAAATCAGCTGATACTCTCGAAGTTTGAACGAAGATTTTAAAAGCCAGTTATCACTGCAAAAAAAAAACTTTAATATCCACTCTGATCATAGTGAAGAAATAACTTCTTCCTTTCAATTTCCTAACTATCCTCTATCATCATAGCATTAACACCAGTGAGAAATTGCTGCTGATAGTTCTTTGGACTTACAATATATCAGGGTTTTGTTGAGGGGAAAGTTACCATACAATTTATTGTAATATCTGTGTAAAGAACTTTAGAAGCAACTCTAAAGGAATATAAGGCAGCTACAGGTGAGACCATGTTAGATTATCAGTGGCCCATCTCATTATGATTTTCACTGAAAGCTGCACAGCAATTAAGAAATGGTATAAGGTAGCTGCTTAATGGAAGACGGCACTTGGGGCATTAACTTGAAGGCAAACAGCTGGACGGAGAGTCCTCACTCTTGGGAGATGAAATAATACCCACACGTGGGTGGGAACATTTCTCAAATTCTGTGTAGGACTCAACAGTGGAAATGCGGCAAATTCTAAAATGACATATATCTATTTGTAAAACTCACCGCTGTGGGCAAAATTCATTAGAAATATGGGATCAGATTTCTTTTCAGATATCCTGGAGAGATTTTGTTGTTTTAACTGGAGTGAATTCTTTATGGCAGTACAAAACAGTATTTTGTATCTCACAAAATACTTTTTTTTTCTGTCTCACCCCTGCAGTATGGAGTTTAGTGTTACTGCAAAACTGTGACAAGTTTAGCATTATTTCAGTTATTTTTGGGCAAACCTAGTTTGATATATCATGTGAATTAATTTGTATGTGTGCTGCCGAAGTGACACTGACAAGAATGGATAAATCTGAAATGTGAGTAGACCGCGAGGGGACTGAGTTGTCAGTGGGCACAGCTGACCACTTAGTATCTGCTCTCAACACCGCCTTGTCCACACAGCACTACAGATATGACGGCTTTTAGTACGTGACCAAACTGTTTCCTTGGAAAAAAAAGTACTAGTAACGGAAGACGGATGTCCAGGTAAGCGTGGTACTCAGCTCTAAAGCTGCAGTTACTGTCATATAAGAACAGTAGGATGTAGGACCGAACAACTCTGATGTGACTATTACGTGCTTTTCACGTAAACTACTCAAGTTGGAGATTTCCTGGGGCAAAATTGAAACCCAATAGAATAAATAAGCGCTACTTTTAGCATTTGGACCAAGAGTGCATTATGCATGCACACACACAGGACAAGTTTCTCAGCATTCTCTGAACAACACAGTAACGATGCTACCACAAGAAAAAACAACGGAACTATTTTCAAGTATGTTTCCTGGGGACTAGCAGTAGGTTCTCTCAAATTAAGAGTGAAGACTCTTGGGTCATGAAGCGGCAACTCTTAGCACCAGAGAGACTTAAACTTCATGAAGGTGAATGAGATTACAAATCAAAGAAGCTGTTGATCTAGTTCTGTATTACTGTACTCCTTTTCTTAAATGGGAATAACCCAGGTTTATGCCAAATAGATTTAAAAAGCTAAATTGCTTACAAATGTTTTAGAATTGCAAAGCATTAAAAATCCAATAGGAAACAAAATTGCTGATTTGCAATAAAATGTTCTAAGTTTCAAGATGTGGAAAAAAAAAAGAATCAAAAAGTTAATATAAATTGAGGTCCCACAAATGAAAATTTAAAAGGTAGTCTCTTAGAAAAAGGAATGGTGAAATTCAGTCTGTATTTTTCACTAATACACTGCACACAAACATTGTTTTGTGGATCGTCAATTTTGACCATGAGTTCTAAATTGTCACTTGATACCTTAAATCAACAGGTTGGAGGCAAGACACTGAATGGATAATAGTTGATTAGGAAGACGACAGCTTCTTTCCGTGATTGCTCCTGTTGGACAATGTCTAGCAGTCATTCAGCAGTTCAATTATTTGCCTGCCTGGGAAGCAGTATCCATGGAGTTTTCCTCCCCAACCTGAAGAGACTCACTGCTAATGGACAACAATTCTCGCAGTTCCTTATTTTCAAGCTGAAAGAAAAAAAAAGATCTGTTTATTTTTGGTATTTTGATTGTCAAATCACATCAGAACATGCTGTTCTGGGTTAGAAACAAAAAGCATATTATTTTAATTTTTTTTTATTTTACAAGTTTTAAGGAAACAAAAGAACTGAGAATTTCCTAATATACTACTTATTTAACAATAACATTCTATATGCCAAGTGTTAGAACTACAAAGGAAGACAATAACAAGGTCCTACTCTGGTTGAAGAATTCACTGCTCATCATATTCTTCATGGTTCCTGCAAGCTTTATCATTGTTCTATCTTTCAGATTCCTAATAATATTTTCACTCTGCTGAATCTTCTCTATCAGAGATCCTAGTTTTGGAGAAAGGGAAGGAAAGGGAAGAGCAAACTGCTTAAGGCGCACAGAGGCACGTAGCACCTGGATGCCTCACACGTACAACACGGTGCAGTTGGTTACTCTGCTGACACCCCACTCCCTTAGGAGGACATGGTGGCTCTCGGAAGCCTGCACATTTGTCTGAGCCGAGGAAACAGAGGGAGTACTGCTGTGTCTCAGTCTCACTCCACGTTTCCACTTTGCGGAACTAGGGTACAGGCCAGAGGTGTGGGGGGCATGGAAGGTCTGAGGAGTCACCAGACGGGTGGGGAGCAGAACAGGCAGATGACAAAATACTGCTGAGGGGAGCAGCGGGTGAGAGCGGAGGGTCAGCTCCCTGGCCAGGGCTTGAATTTATGCTGAATTGGCAGTGGTCAGTTCTGCAGTGCTGTGCTGGGCTTCAACCTGTTCTGCCACCAGGGAGGGCCCTGTTCTGTCTCTTCGTAGGGCTGTTTTCATGAATAAGGTAAATCAAGGACGGTGTGATTCTATCAGTTTAACTGGCTCCTGTTCCTATTTAGGACCTTGTCTCTCCCTTGGATTTCTACAACGGGCCGCTTGCATTCTTCATCCTTATTCCCTCAGCAGGGAATTCTGCTAAACCAGAGTCATCTTCAGGTTTCCCCAAGAGTCAGAGCCCATGGTCATAAAATCTTCTACCATAAAATGTGTTTCCTTTAGTATCCTGCATTTTACTCTTTCATATCATATTGGTGCTAGTTTTCCCTTAACAGTTTATGAGCACATTAACACCCCAGTCTTTTATAATATATTCTTATTTTAGTCAAAATGTTACTTGGTAATAGCTTTTACAATTTTAGAGTTTACAGCTTATAAAGTTTTACAGGTTTTCCCTTGGCATTGTTCCCCAAAGGCAATCAATTTTAGTACTTTTATCTGCTTTCTTTTTATCTATTTCTTTATTACTTTAATCTATTTCTTAGGAACATGTGTAGAATTACTCCCGTAATTCTAAATAATATGCCTGTATTGCTATTTCCTGACCATTACTTTTAAACATATTGCTTTTGTGGCAAGGATTTTAGCTTACCTGTAATCTGTCCCTTCCACCCCCCCTTCAACCTTCTTGATATGGTAATATCTCCATTTCTCACCAGCTGGCATTTTCTTTGTTTGCTACTAATGACATTTCCTTTCTTAAAAAGAATAGGGAGGAGTTTTCACTTTAAGTCACACAAACAGGAAACACGGACACATAGCAGTGACAGGATAGTGATGACATGCATTTCAGACTCAGAGAACTCCCTGCTGTAGTGCTGTGAACCTGAAGTATTAACAATCTTACCTCTAATTGGGCTAGTTTTTCCTGAATCTTACAAAACTGGTCATCATCCACCTGAACTGCTTTCCTCATCACTTCTCCCATTTCACAGATTCTGTCAATCTGACTTTCAATTTCCTGTGGAGATAATCAAGAAAAATAATGTGTGGTGGGGGAAGCATTCTTCTCTAAAGATTTGGAGTTCCTAAGAACACATGTATTATGACATTTAAAGATTCATTTCATCGATTTTACAGAGGCTATGCTGGAGTTTCACCATAATTTGAGCTCTCAGAGGTAAGACCACAATAAATTTACTTTATAGTATTCAGTTTTTTTCACACAATTAAGTCTGATCTAATCAGCAACCACATGTCAGATAATATGTCCATGTGGCTGCTTAACTTATAAATTCCAACACTTTCAACGGCAGGAAGTTCACCACGTTCTGAAGTACCTTATTCTATCTTTGGACGTATCTCTTAACAAGTTTTTCCTAAGTCTCTTTCAAGTTTCAAGTTTTCTCCTGTAAGTCACAGAAAATAGTTTTACTTTATCTCTTTAGATGAAATCTACATATTTAAAATATCCCTGTTTCCTAACTTCTGTTAAGCCAGTAAGTGCTTATAATGGAATTAAGATGAAGTTCCACTGTGAGGTGTTGGTCTGCTCATCCAGGATTAAATGACAGAGCACATGTGACTGTACCATGACAGTTCTGAAGCACTCTATAAACATGAGAACAGTTGCTGGGTCATCCATTAAGCAACCATAGTAGAGAAACTAGGCCAGACACGTACATAGAAATAATATTTATATATTTTTTACCCCATTCACCTCTCTCCTAGCAACATAGTATAATACTATGTAGTTTTATTTTTTAAGATTTATTGTATTTACATATTTATGCATACAAGAATGGGAGTGTAGGCCAAAAGTGTGTAGGTTGGGGGTGGGGGTGGGGTTAAAGGAGTCACCAGAGACAGAGTGGGGAGGAGAACAGGCGGATTGACTGAAATGCACTGTTGGGGAGCAACAGGTAAGACAGGAGAGGTCTGCTGCACCTTGGAGGTCACCTCCCTGGCCAGGAGCGAACTCATGCCACAGTGGCTGGCCATAGCTTGATAGTGCTAAGACTTTAACCCCTGTGCCAATAGGGAGGACCTATGTAGTATGTTTTAATAAACACTGGCCTACTGCTACAGGTACTATGTTAAAGGTGAAAGGCAAGAAACAATGAAAAAAAAAAAAGAAAAAACTGAAAAGAAAATTAGAAAAATGGAAAAAAAGATGAAAGGTGAATTCATGTTCCTTATAATTAGTTTAGTGACAAGTATAACAATAACCATCCAAGTATTTATAGGGCAATGTCAATACTAATTGGCATTATGATGTTTGGTGAAAGAAACAAAGCATTTTGTTAACATCATGTAAAGACATCTTAGTAATTGAGGGAGGAACATAAGCTCCACTCAAATAAAGAACCTACTTTTGTCTTTACAAAGACAGCAAAATCAACAGTGAATGTGATGAACATAAATGGAAAAACAAACTTATTTTTTTCAAAAACAAGGATATAATCTAAAACAATTTCAAGAGTTCAGTTCTGTTCACTGAGTATTTAGCCATCAAAGTTTCTTACTGCAGAGTGAGACTGGTGAGCTTTCAGGACTGGTTCGGTGTCCACTGCTTTTTTCGCAACCATTAACTGTAACATCTGCTTCCGGTATTTGCTCATGATGAGTTCCAAAGCATCCTGGTGTTCTTCCAAAGAAATCCATAGCGCTATCAATAAATAAAATAACTTGGCAGCGACGTCTGGAAGACAGCTTTTTTCTTTTTTAAAAGATTTATTTATTTATGCATACAGAACTGGGGTACAGGCCAGAGGTGCAGGGGTGGTGAGAGGATTCACCAGAGACAGAGTGGGGAGCAGAA